AMYYCCCMAAWKSYAGCACAGAAACCTACGGAAAGAAGTCTATSCGACATRAGGGTTCCAAGCTTTGGAACGATCTTACTGATGATATCAGAGTTACCACCAGTGAATCTGCATTCAAGAACAAATTAAAAAAGAACTTRACAAATAGCAATTGTAAAACACTCCAGAGAAATTATGCAGATACAGAGAGTAAGACAGACAGACAGAGACAGACAGACAGAGAGGGAGAAAGAGAGAGAGGGTATAGGAAAAGAGATATTTGGATACAGTCAATTCAAAAAATGTTGTCGTCGACCAACTCAAGCCTACGCGACTGGACCGAAAGGAACTCTGGGTAGCAATCATTGAAGCCGAGTTGACTCCATAATTTTATCTGACTAGTTATGCCTGGTTTACAGCACGAGCCTTCGTAGGCGAGCGGGAAATATTGAAGGAGATTTTTTTTTAATGCCTTCGTATTTTCGGGATTGTGAACTGAATCATAACTACTTTGTTTTTCTTTCCCTAAACCCAAAGACATGCATTTGATGGATTGTTTCTAGCAGGAACAATTTATTCAGAACGAATATTTAACCGCTTCAGTGCCATTTTTACCCATATTCGCTTTCGGTCCAGTCGCGTAGGCTTGAGCCGGTCGACGACAACGTTTTTTGAATTGACTGTATATATTATGGGGTATTATAGTTGTAATTCTAAAAAAAAACACAACCACATAAGCAACGCTGTAAAACTTATCGTGCCTAAATAATAACAATAATTATCATCATAATGATGATGATGATGTATACAGTCCTTTGAAAAACTGTTGTCTGACCGGCTTCACAGACTGACTTCAACCAGTGCCGCAATGAAAAAAAAAGTTTTTTCTTGCATGCTTTTTTGATCATTTTGGAATAGAATCACTAGTTATGAATAATAAAATAAAAATCATTGCATAAAAGCTACAAATTCAGAGTAAAAAAGCGTRTACGATCCGTACGATCCAAGCAACCGAATCCAGTCCGTGCCATTTACGCACGGTTCCTGATTTTCCAAAAATAGAAAACACTCAAAATTCGGGCTTTTAGAATAGGAAAACAAGTTTTAGAAGTTGGGCATGYTTTTACTATACGTTAAGATTATCCATGGCCTTTCAAAAGGTAAAAATTCAAAAAGAATTGTTTTTCGTGATTCAAGATCCAGTCACTGACTGAGGTCCAGTCGCTTGCAATCCATTTCATACAACCAATACATTCCAGTCACATCCGAGTACATCCAATTTATCTCAATAGCATGTTAATGGAGTAAGATTAGTCGTTAAAATCTAAACATCCACAAAGTGACCTGTAGAAACATGAAGAGATAATTAGCTAAAAACTAGTGTGAGCTGCGTCGGTGTTTCTAATGAAACAGTAATGATAAAAGGGTAAATTATACATCGTGAAAAGATGAAGAAAATAAAAAAACTTACTAACGTTTCGGACGCTGGACCGATGAAGGACTAGCGTCCGAAACGTCAGTAAATTTTTCAATTTTTTCATCTTTTCACGGTGTATAATTTACCCTTTTATCATTATAGAAACATGATGTGTACAGTCCTGTGAGAACGTTTTGTCGCTGAGCGGCTTCACAGGACTTCAACCAGTGCCTCAATCAAAAAAAGTTTTTTTTCGTTTCCCCCCCCCCAACATTTTAGAATAGAATCACTAGTTATGAATAATGAAATAAAGATCATAGGATAAAAGCTGCAAATTGGAGATAAAAATAGGGTATGCATTCCGTACGATCCAGCCAACCGAAGTCCAGTCCATTCCATCTACGTGCGGTTCCTGATTTTCCAAATTTAAAAAACACTCAAAATTCGGGCTTTTAGAGGAGGAAAACAAGTTTTAGAAGTTGAGCATGTTTTTACTATACATTAAGATTATCCATGGCCTTTCAAAAGGTGAAAATTCAAAAATTTTTTTTTTAGTGATTCAAGATCCAGTCACTAACGTGACTGAGGCCCAGTCACTTGCAATCCATTTCAGTCACAACCAATCCATTCCAGTCACATCCAAGTAACCCCCAATTTATCTCAATAGCATCTTAAGAAAAAATTAGAGAAAAATTAGTGTTAAACATCTAAACGTCTACAGAGTCACCTACACAAACATGATGTGTACAGTCCTTTGAAAAACTTTTTGTCGCTGACCGGCTTCATAGGACTTCAACCAGTGCCGTGATCAAAAAAAAAAAAACAAAAACAAAAACATTTTTGCATTTCTTTGCATTATTTTGGAATGGAATCACTAGTTATCAATAATAAGATAAAAATTATTGGATAAAACCTGCAAATTCGGAGTAAAAGAGCGTATACGTTCCGTACGATCCAGTCAACCGAAGTCCAGTCCATTCCATGTACGTGCGGTTCCAAATTTTCCAAAATTAAAAAACACTCAAAATTCGGGCTTTTACAAGAGGAAAACAAGTTTTAGAAGTTGGACATGTTTTTACTATATATTAAGATTATCCATGGCCTTTCAAAAAGTGAAAAGTGAAAATTTTTCAGTCATCGCTGACTAAGGCCCAGTCACTAGCAATCCATTTCAGTCAATACCAATCCATTCCAGTCACATCCGAGTAACATCCAATTTATCTCAATAGCATCTTAATGGAGTAAAATTAGTCATAAAATTCTAAACATCCACAAAGTGACCTATAGAAACATGATGCGTTTGTCACTGACCGGACGCAAGCATAGCAAGTTCTTGTCTGTCCCAACTACACCACAGGAAGCCCAATTTAACTTTGAGACTTTTGGCGCGCGCTCGGTTAACGGCATTTGAATGCCGCAAGCAATCAAACTTATCAGTCAATCAGACAATAAGATGTTTTTCGTTGATCCTGTTTCATTCTCGCTTTCAAACAGCACGGAATGGAATCTAGCAACATCCCAGAATCAATATCCACTCAAACCATAACCACTCTTCGCCCCAAGCGTGAGGTAAGCTTCTCGTACATGATGGAGGAGTTGGACAACCTGTTGGCACACAAAAACATCTTTACCGACTTCCTTGAGAGGATCGAGAAAACCATTTGTATACCACGTCGTATTCAAATCCTATCTATCGTTCTTCTTGTTTTGCTGTACCTTGCCGAGGGCTATGCAGCAGCTCTTCTGTGCAACATTCTCTCGCTGATCCTCCCAATGTGTGCTTCTATCAACGCCATTGAAAACCCAGATTTTGAGAGTGACACGAAATGGTTGATGTACTGGGTCGTATTCTCGTGTATGAGCTTCATGGAAATTTTTATTTCATGGATGCCGAGTTACAGTTTACTGAAGTTCCTTTTACTGGTGTGGTGTATGGCTCCTGGAAGGTTGAATGGATCCGAGGTTATGTACTTCCGGTTCGTCAGACCATTTTTTATGAAGCACAAGGCATGTGTGAATGATGTCATCTCCAATGCTGCGAAGAGAGTCCGTCAAGTTGCGGAGAAGACTGTGGATGAGTTTATGGTTGACAGGGCAACGAAGCTAGTTAAAGGAGCAGAAGACTCTTTCACTTTGCTGGAAGGAGAAAAAACAGAAAGCGCTCTGAAAAATGACTGATTTTCTTGTACTTCTTATACGTACACTTTTATACATTGTCGCTCAATTTGAACTCAGATTTTTGTCAGCACGTTGAAATCTTAGAAAAAAACCCTGGGAAAAATATATTGTTAAAGATACTTGTTAAAAATAGATTAAGTTAGGGAGTTATCATTATTTATCGGGGGGGGGGGGGGGGCACCAAATTTGCATTGAACTCTGTCAAGAAAATAGAGGCCCTTCCTTGAAACACACATTCAAAAAAATTTAGTGCCCCCCCCTCCCCCCGTTAAAAATGATAACTCCCCATAACGCTTTTTATGACGGAATTGCGAAGAAGGAAACTGCTCATACTCCTTCGAACTTCTATTTATAGCCATTATTAGCAACAATAAAATGTTAAAATGAGTATTGAAAAATATATTGAGTAAAATTAACTACTTTGTTTGCAATTTTTTTATTATTATTTATGCTCATTCTGTTCCGTCTTCTTCATTTTGAGCGATATTACCCATAATCCCCTCCAGTCATCAAGCAGTCCACAATGCAGTGCGGGCATGTATTATTCGCGGTAAATCCAACAACGATGACAAGATGTACTTTTTGACTGAAAACTCTCTTTAAAAATCTTTTTACTCGTTCTGATGGCTAATTGGAACAGCAATGATGGGCTTAGAAACCAGAGGAAGCGAACTTTTATCTATAAGTCTGCTGGTCAAAACAGACCTGTGGGAAACCCAGTAAAAGGTGATCAAAATTTGACAACTGGGAACAGTCCTAGCTATTCTCGACCTCGTAAAAAGGTCAAAAGTTCTTATAGTTATTATGAAAAAACAAGAAGCGATCAACAGGCTGCAGAAGAGCTRTGCAGTGATCTACCTGCTGATGCATTCGAGGACGACCTCGGGGTTGATTTTGGGGATGATCTGACTGCAGAAGAGCTCTGTAAAGCGGCTTCTGTTGCTGAACAAGAAATGGCTTACGAGGAAAAGAAAGGCATCATAAATGAAAATATAACAAACGATCGACCTGTAGAGGAAGATTATTTTGAAGATTTAGCTTTGGATCAAGATATATTAGACGAAGCCACGGGAAAGCAACTACATAACAATGTTTGCCATCCAGCTACTACGATAGCTACTTGCACTTCTGGAGCTATTAATGATGAAACACGTTTTGAAACTTCAGCACATGAATCGACTGTATTGCTTTTCTCTACGCCTAGTTGTTCGACATCCCGAAATACTGAAGCTATAATGCAAGGAAACGCTACAGAAGGAAGTAAGACTCATGCTAGTAATGGGTGTGCTAWTGGAAATACAGGATTATTTGAAAAGTTAACACTTATAAAGTCTAAGCTACTGGATGCAGAAGACAAAATCAAGAAATTAGAGGAAGATAAGTTCTTAATGGATGGAAAGCTGAAAACCATGAATGACACTCTGGCACATCATGAGGCTGTAGATGCCAAGCAGCGAGAGAAAATAAGAATGATAGAAGAAGAAAAGAGGAAAACAGTTGATGGAACAGAAAAAGAACTGAGAAAACAAATTGAGCATCTAACAACACAGATTTACTTCAAAGACCAAGAAATTGCCCAGGCCAAAGAACAAGTAAAAAAACAAATGCAATTATCAAATGAAAATATTCACCTCAGCCCTCATAGAAAAAAGTATCCAAAACTCACAGATAATTCATCAATCCCAACAGGACAGTCATTTTTTGAGAAGAAGCCATCAGATATGCAGTCGTCACCTAAAAACAAGGTTTTAAAGCCTCAAAAGTCTCCAGTAAAAAGTGAACCAGAAGTTGTGAGACCTGTTTTGGGAAGTTCATCTGCCGAGTCTTCAGATTCGAGAGCATTTGAAATAAAATATGTTAAAAAGGAAAAGGATAATTTGGATGGAAGTGAAAATGAATTCCTACAAAAGCTTTTGAAGCTGGAAAATATTGGAGTAAAAAGTATGTCTTCTGATTTTGAAGTATGCAGCGTCAATCAAAGTATACTGTCATTATTGAATTCAAGCTCAAGAGTTGGCCAAATTGAACAATCTAGGAGAGAAGATAATACAGAGATACAAAAACTCTTGAAACAACGAACGTGTACCCCAAAGAAAGGAATAGAATTAGATTTTGATGTAGAACCCAAAGACAATGGACTACGGCAATCTGTCTATGATAATATTCAGGAACTTTTGAATGCTCAGCCATTAATTTTCGGTGATAAACATGAAGCATGTTTGGATTTAGTTTCAAATTGCAAGGCTTCAAACTTTCTAGATTCTCATCAAAAGTCACCATCTGTGCAAGGTTTTCTGCCATTACTAGAATATCATATATCCCAGTATATAGATTTACGCCTAGAAAATGACGAGGAAAGTTTGTCCAGCACAAGTTCTCCTGGTTCGCCTGGAGAGGGAGGTGAAATGAGGCAGCCAGTAGATAAAGATGGGTCTATTTCACTTTTGGAAGCATTAGATGGTGCAGTTCAGTCTCTAAGGTGTTTGAATATTCTGGTTCTGCACAGTGATGATGTCTGTCAGCTGTTATTAAGGTCATCAAAAGTTTTTTCAAGTCATGAAAATGAAGTAGAAGAATTAATAGGAACAAGTAGTGGAGTACAAAAGGTAGTGTATTTAACACAGACGTAATTTGAAATATTTACCCATTTCAGACTCCCTAGAGTATCATTTCTTTGCTAACAGTTGCACATGAGAAGACACATAAATATGGATTCAACTTAAACGAAGAATTTGATTCTTTAGAGAATGACAAATGGTCTGGAATGGGTAAACATTTCACCTGACGAAATTAGGTCTACTGTACTTCATTTGTCTATGGGAAAATATATTTCAAAAAAGGTTGTTAGAGCCAAAAGAGAAAAGCGATAGGTCATTCCAAGGCCTAAGAATAGCTGGAATGACTTGTGTTTCTTATTATTCTTATCAAGATTATTATGTGGAAGGTTGTGGTTTGATAAATACAGCACGAATAAATGAGTATAGGGTGGGACAAGTTTTTCCAGCCCGCACACGTCAACCCATCCGGCCCCCATCATGTGACTTTTTTCAAAGGTTTTATTAGAGCACATGAGCATGGTCGTACAGGTCATATGATTAAAGTGCACATGAACCCTTCGACAATACTTTCAGTACTGATTCTACACGAAGTAAATAGTTGAATGGTAAAATATTTCTTGATTTGAGTGATGCGTTTCTAAGTTATGAAGGTTTATACTTCCAACATGCTAATGAGTGTGACGTCTATTAAGGCTTAATCAAATATACAAAATCGAACTGGTTCATAGAAACAGTATTTTAAAAGCATCATTATTTTACTCATGGTTTACATGAAAGCTATTTACAATTTTTATTTTCAAAATGGCCAGCATTTAGTATTACTAGTTACAACAAAAACACTCAAATACCTTACCTGACGTCATCATCATTAACATATTGGAAGTATAAACCTTCATAACTTAGAGACGCATCACTCAAATCAAGAAATATTTTACCAATCAACTATTTACTTTATGCAGAACCAGTACTGAATGTATTGTCAAAGGGTTCATTTGCACTTTAACAAAAAATAATCTATTAATCCAGGTTTTATTCTGTCATTAATTTAGCAGTCCTATAACTCCAGTGAAGAAAAACCTGATTTGCTTAATTTGGTCTTTAAGCTTACGGTACCACTACAAGTAGGTTTACAACACAATGTACTTTCAAAGTATGATTGTGTTTTGGTTTTATTAGTGTTAAAAAATGTGTCTCGTCAACACAGTATTTGAAATTTAGTTTCGTTTCTCAACAATGGGTCAGACACCTAAATTCTTGGGAAAAAATTAAATTTTGAATACTGCGCTAAAGGAACACATTTTTAAAACACTAATTTTATATACTTTACGTACAAAATATGATTTAATTGTCAATATTATGATAGTAATTTACTAGGTATTATATTTTTTATAACCTTTCTGTTGCACTCCTCCATTATATGAAAATCTTTTTCAACACTATTAATTTTTCTCCAGCTAATACGTTTGTGGTGTACAATGATTTTATTAAGAATTTACTAGGAGATATTGACAAATACTTCTTTTATTTGGTTTTCTGCACTTAGAATGAACCACTGTTGGTTACCCAAGTGGCACTGAATGTCATATCATCACTGGCTCAACGTTGTCCATCAGAGTACAGGAACAGGTGAGTACTTTTAATAATCATTCCACTGGAACCGTCAAAGATCCCATATATGGCTACCATCATGGTCAGAAGCTGTTTAACCCTGTGCACACTAGCATCGGAATCAGAATTGAAATTAACAGACTCAGTATTTCATTTATCACCTAGGTGTGAAAAAATCAAGCACTGTTAATGAGCAGCACACTACTGAGTCTAAAAATTTGAACTTCTTCCAAGGTTTTTATTTTTATTAGTTATTTGGTAGTAAAATTCACCTTAATTATCAATCATTAAAACCTGGCTGCATCTAAGAGAAACGAATGGTGAGCTTGCAATGATAGAGACCTATATTTAACACCTTGGACTCACTGTTTGTCTTCCTTCGATGCAAAGGCAYGGCTACCTTTTAAAATGGCAAAGGGAAYTGTGAAAGGGTAGACTATTATGTCCCCTTAGACAGTCTCACGTTGCATATACACCCTTGGCTGTATATTAACTTCTTTTCAATAATTTTCTTCATCATCTAGGTTTCTTCCACTGTTATGTGATACATTATTGCCTCAATGTATTTCAAGGGACAGTGGTGCAACTGTGATGTCTCTGCTGGTACCAATCCTCATGGTTACTGCATCCATTCCTTCTCTAATAAAACATCTTTGCTCTCAGTCAGGTAAAAACATACTTTATATCCAAGGCTAGTCCACGTGTAAATCTGGGACTACTAAATCTTTGCTCAACAAGCCTTTAAAGCCTTATGTTTTTCTATTTTAAGATGAATGCCTTTTGTTGAAAGTTTATCAAGGTTGCTTGAGTGACACTGATGATTTATCTTATCACACCATATTTGAGGTAATTATTTTAGATAACTGAATATTTCAATAATTTAATTTTTACAATAGTATAATATATTCTCATATGTTTAGAACCAGTTCTTCAAAATGCCTACTGAATTGGTTTACCCGCTTTAAGATAGAGCATTTTCATGTGACATCACAGTGGCCATGTTGAGGTACCAAAACAATGCGATTCTATCCTTTTGGAATTAAACTCTGTTTTTATGCAAAAACTGCGCAAAAAATTCTATTGTTTGGTACACCAATATGGCTGCTTTGTCACGTGAGTGAAAATGAAAATGTTCTATGGGTTATCTCATTATGAAATGTTTTTTTCTTTTAGGTTATAGATCTAATTGAGACAATCTTATCAAGTAAAAATGAGGCAATCCCACTTTTCCTTGATTCAGAATGCCATTGCAGTCTTGAGGTATGAAACTTGTACATTATTTGAAAAATGAAAGTCGAAAGCATGAACCCACTTTGGGTGGAATGGGTTGTGTATGCTTCTAATGTGTTGTCCCCTCCACAAAACTTGTGGTYGGGGGATCAAGACTTGTGTCCATCTTGTGAATAGAATATGTTCTCTTCCTTGCCCGGGGGAGGGGGGGTACTCTTGCCCGTTTAGGGTAGGAATGTGCCGCTGAGCCCACTGAACCCTGTTCCAGAGTAAAATCGCTGAAATTCATACCCTGTTCCAGAGCAAGATTGCTAAAAAATTTTACCCTGTTCCGGTGTTGCAAAAATGGATACCCTGTTCCAGAGAGGAGAGATGTCATATACTCTGTCCCAGAATGAGCACAATTTTATATACCCTGTTCCAGAGTAGAATTGCTGAAAACCATACCCTGTTTGGCAGCACGTACATGTATAGCGAAWAAAGGGGRGTACMCCCCCCCCCCCCCCCATCCCGGGCTTCCTTGCCATGAGGGTTTTTCTCCAGGTCCTCTAGCTTTTCTCCCTCCATTAAAATTGGCTTGTGAGTTGGGGTAAGAGGGGGACATGGGTGGGGTCACTGGTTCAGATCTTAACTAAATCTTATGCAGAGCTAAAAAATAATGGCCGGTCAATCATCAGTCATGATTACTGACGAAATTAGTTTGAGCTCCGGCATACCTCATTTCTGGCAAAAACAGTACTTGTTGAAATGACCAGCAAGGCAGCGATTAAGCTGGATAAGTTCCAAGTAGACCTGATATATTGCCTAGTGCTGGTGGCGATGATATCAATGATAGGGAGTTATTGTTTTCTTTCAACAGTTAATAAAATACCTGGTGCTTCTCTTGCACAAAAGGATGGTCTTTCTTAGAAATTTTCCTCCAGAAACTCTTAAGGTTAATCATAATAGCAGGTACATATATATTTGACTACTTTTGTTATATCTGCAACAGATCTTCCTTGCATTTGAAGCGAGGAGTGTTGTTACTGGTTAACTTGCATTTGAAACTGTTCTTTTTATTTAATCAGAGATAGTTTTCTGCTCTTGCGCCGTGGAATGTTTTTACTGGCCACCTTGCTTACAAATTCAAGTAGACTGCTAGCAGATCTGCATGTGGAAGTTGAGCAACAATATGTCAACCTTATCATTGGTGCAACACGTCTTTATGCCACAATCAAGGATATACCAGATGGAGAAGGTAGGAAACACAAGAGTTATCATTTTGAAAGCCTTACTGAATGGAGATGCTTTGTTGTGACCATAATAGATCTCCTTGGCTCTGGAGCGCTAGAGTGTAATGTTGTCCCATTTCAGACCATGTGTCATTCCCTTGAGAATAATATTCTTTGTTTGAGTTGTATCCATATTCACGTGTCTTCTCATGTGCAAACCTTAAGCAAATAAATGATACTCTAGGGAATGACATGTGGTCTGAAATGGGAAAACATTACGTCAGAGCTGAGGAGGTCTATTGAACAATGCATAAGCTATCTAGCTCTAGAGATGTTTYCGCATGAGTGGGAACAACACATCAAATTTGTAGTTGTACCATATCTTGCCGTAACTTTAACTAGACATTGTGATTGGATGAATTACTTGAAGACAAAATTAGGGGGGGGGGGTAAAACTGGGTTTGAATTATCTCTTATTTTGCTGGCCCAGCCTAAAATGAGATTTAAAAAATGACCCTCCTACGTTTCCATGCAAGAAATGCAAATGAACTACCCCTAATGTAAATTATGTGATCCACCCTCTGTTTTTACATCCCCCCCCCTTGCTTTATGGCCAGTCCCTAATAAAGATGTCATTCCCAGGCATGTTATTGCAAGACCTTCTGGATTTTGAACATATTGAAGATGATGAAGTACAGCAAGATTATGATGAAGATGGCATAGAAGAAATGGATGTTGACACTTGATCGAAACATCACTGATATCCATACATGTAAATAGTCTGTAATATTTAGTGAACTATAGCACCCCACCTACCATTTGAAGTCTAACAATTCATGGTCCCCTCTCAGACAATAGAGAAACCAATAACCATTGCAGGAAAGAGGACATACCGATAAATTGCGTCGGCAAATCATGAGTGCTCGAAAATGTTCCTTATTTCAAATTTTCCCTTTGTTTCTGTGGTCAAAAACATTTTCCTCCAGTTTTCCAATTTCTTCCAATTTCCTCCAGTATTTCATCTTATTTACCACAATTTTTGTCATCTAGCCATCAAAATGTTGTGGACACATACAAGGCAGAGTCAAGTCGGAAAACTGGAGGAAATTGGTGAACTTACTATTGGTTAATTGCCAAAATGTTGATTGACAAAATTAATATCGCCATGTTCATTTTTACCTATTGTGAATATCTTCAACTTACTTTATCGTTCGATATCCATATTTTTCAAAAATTAAAGTTCTATTTTGTTTCAAAAATAGAAATTTACTTATTCATGCAAGTAGATAGAGTAATAGTTGTTCAATTTGAACTTTAGCAGAATAAATTTTGTGAAAACCAAGTAAGGGTAACAGAGTAAAGACAGAATTCTCCAACGATTTTCTTGTCAATTTTAGAAAAACATGCAAAAAAATGAAACAAAGGTATGGTCTTGAATATATTTTGTTATTTGTATAAATTCAAAGAAAAATAAAAAATATTAATTATCTTATTTCTTGGTTTTTAAATATTAAATTTTTTATGGTTAAAATTAAAGGAAAAAATGGAATATTCAACACAAAGTAGTACCAATAACTAGTATAGTAATAATGATATATTTTAATCCTTAATTCTGGTCGTTTTTTGAAAATACTCAGCTATTAAAAGTAGAACAGGAGTACATGGTTTATAAACAGATATAATACAAATTTATTATTACAGCACTTTTCAATCACACATGCAAAATCATTCAATCACCTGTTGCAACAAATAGAGTTTTTGTTGGTGTCAATCAAAGTGTTTCCATAACATTGTGAAACCCAAAGCTTACAAAGGCACATGCCTGTATAATGTTATGGAAAGGCCTAGATCGACGTCACAATGGCAAATTGAACACTTTCGTGCATGTGATTCAGAGGTGCTGTAAATAAAACTCAACAATACAAAATGAAAGCTTGTAAAAGRTTTGTTCTGTTAGAGGTACTAGTACAAATAGGAAGTTAGGACTAAGTTCTAACTACTGTACATGGTATGGCATACAGTAACACTGAAATGGCTTCCCATTGTTGTGCCAATATCATTATCCACACACATGAGAGGGGCACAGTACTGTGTGGAACATTCAACAGCCTAAGTTCTCGTAGTGCTTGTAATATCGTCAGGGCTTAAAATACTGTTGGTCATCCGTCCAGAGTTGGAAGTTGCATGATTAAATCTCTGCCTTGCTGGACATTTCAGCCAGAAATAGATGAGGTAGGTTATTTTAAGCCCTGTATCATAGCCTCCATATTGTTGTCTTCCAACATGGTAGCCATGTCTTTGTCCTTTTCCTAATATCTCRTGGGAAGAACTGTGCACTCTCTTTGTTGATATCCATCTTTCTAACCAAATAAAATATTTTCTTGATTATTTAGGTTTTTCAACATCTAACATAACAATAAGCATTTTTCTTGCTATGTTTTTTTTTTTGTTTTTGTTTTTAATAGTTGTACTGAATAGCATATGTTCCAACTGTCTGTCAATGTTGTTCTCTAGATCTTGGTTTGTTGTTTTAACTTCCATTCTTCCACATCTTCCTCATATTTTTCCATTGCTCTTTTCTTCACAAACAAATAGCTCTCCTTTTCTTCATCTGTCAAGTTGCGCCATCTTTGTCCCATCCGTTTCAACCATTCTTTCATGTTTTCATCTTCCCGTCTGGGAAAGTTGTCCTTCTCCATGTTAACAAAGTACAAAAATGGACCCCCAGGCTTCTTTGGAAAGTTAAGCAAGCGTAGTTTCTGTTGATGCAGCTTTTTCATCTTATCTTTAGCTAAATGATTCAAAAAATCTAGCTCTTCTTCATTTAGTTTTTCTTCAAAACCAACCACATCTGCCTCGTAGCGTTTAGTATCTTCCTCCAACTTCTTGTTCAATTCCTTCTTTTTCTCCTCTGGTACTTCTTTCCATTGATCTCCTAGCCTTCGAATAATCTCTTGAGCTTTCAAATTCGGATTTTCAAGATGAATTTTCGAGAAGTTTTCCTTAACAAACCTTGCAAATACCCCTGGTGGTTTTCGAGGTATCTTCTTGAGTGGAGCTTTAAATTCCACCATCTCTTCATCATAAATTCTCTTATATTCCCCCTTAATTTCGGGATCTAAATGAGCCCATTCTTCAGAAAGAAGCTTGTTAAGGTCCTGAAGTTTAAGTTCAGGATGTTCTGCTTTAAACTTAGCGATGTAGTCGCTTCGAAAACGTAAATACGGTTGAACTGGACGCTTGTATTTGCTGTCTTCTTCTGCCTGAAGTTGGCTCGAAGTTGCAAAATTGAACCTTGAGATCTTCCCAACAAGAACTCCAGTTACACATTTACCTCTTACCGCTATAGAAGAAGAAAGAAAACCTCTTGAAAAGGATAAAAAACTCATATTTTTACTTCTTCTCGTAAAATGAAAATGAAACCGAAACAAGAAGGCCGCCAAAAATACACGCATAATGCATTGTGGGATATCCGAAATTTCAAGGGAGGGGAGGGTAAGTTAGTGTTCGTGTYGAATTTCATACAGTCAGTAATACCTCGATTTTAATCAAGGCGTTTAAAAGCAGACCCCTTATCAAGCGGACACCCTTTATTAAGTGGACAATGCAAAGTTCCCAATATCATGCACCCATATAATTATAGTAAAACAAACCTCTCTCTAGACCCTTTTAGCTTGGATGTACTGTGTTTTCCCATTTCAGACTGTGCCATTCTCTAGGGCATCATACCTTTGTTTAAAGGTTATGACCCCCCAGTTATGCATGAGAAGACACCTGAATATGGTTAGAACTAAACTGTTATACTCAACAAGGGAATGACGACACATTTTCGTGAAAAAAAAACAACAAATGCATCCAAGCCATTTGTCATTCTGGATGGAGTTAATTGACCTTATCTATTTTAAATGAAACACAAAATAATCATTTTTATTATTTCATGAAACATGATTTTGACCATTTAATATCCCCTGAAACATGATTCATGTCCCCCTTTACCACCCTGTATTCAGCATAAACCCAGACAAGGGCCTGAAGGTGATCAGCATAATGCAGTTCCATTGTATTTTTCCTCAGAATTGCAAACTCATATGTCATAAAGAAATTTTCATCAGAAGGCTTCAACTTGTTTACCATTTTACCAATTGCCAAGCAGAAATCTAGATATTATCCAATAAGAGCAATTAGTGACAAAATCTATTGTTAAAATGGTTGAGTTAACATAGAACATATCTACAACYTAAAACTTTTCAAAAGTATTGCACACTGTAATCATAAGCTTAAAAAAGCAATCCATGAAAGATTCATGAAAAGGATACCACATGCTTGGTATAAGAGGAAAATTTTACTTTTTGTAGTTAATACAAGCTTAATATAATTACCCATGCTTYGGTCAAACATTTTAATGAAAGAATAAGAATGCTTAAAGACATTAATTTGCAACCTTGAAAATTGTACACCTCTAATAAACTTGTACATCCATTCCACTACACAGGTCATGGTACATTTATAACAAGATAATTTGAACTTAATGAACTTAACACACTTATTGTAATAATAAGCTAAACAATGAACTTAAGGTAATTCCCTTGTTTTGCACTGCGCATTTTTCKGYGCATGCAACTGAAAGCATGGAACTAACAAAGTTTAGGCATTTTTCTTTTGGAAACTAAATAAGAAACATGTTCAAAACCAATTTTCACTTTTTTCTCTTTTTTGAGTAAAGAAATTGCAATTTTTATCGGACTCGCCTTAGTCTCCACTCGGAAATGTGTCAGTTTTCGACTATTTTGAGATGTTTTTTCAAGATAAGTCAAAAAAGAGAATGGTGACCCCCATTTTTTATTTCAGATTTTTGATAAATATTTTGAAATATTTTGATGGGAATAGTTGACATGTGCAATTTTTGGTCTTTGGTAGAGGCACACATACCTGCATTTTTCACTACCGGTAATAGTTAAAGAGTCATAGTCATCTAATGACTTTGAATAATTTAATTACCGGCRTTTGCATTGCTACGCGGCCACCCCAGACAAAAATCGCGACATGCACTTTGCAATAGACTGCCGTCAATCAAACACATTGATGCCATTTACACGCGTGTGTGATTCAAAAGGCGCCAAAACTTTGGTTGATTGTTTATAAGTATTATGAGGCACACTCACTGGGCCTATCCGGGCCGATCCAAACGCGTGTAAATGATGTCAACTTGTTTGATTGACGGCAGTMTATYGCAAAGTGCACGTCGCGATTTTTGTCTGGGGTGTCCGCGTAGCAATGCAAACGCCGGTAATAGTATAGATTATCTAGTAAACATGAAGGTTCTTGATTACAGCTTCAGGTTGCTACCCTATTTCACCCTTAAATTGACATATTTRGAGAGCATCTAGCGAAAAAACGAGAATGGCAACCCCATCTTTTTATTACAGTTTTTAAATGTCCATAACATAATYAATGTCTATGCAAAGTTTCAGGACAAAGTTATCGGCAAAATTTCTTTCAAGGGAATTACCTTAACACGCTTATTGTAGGCGTATGACCTATAAAGGAGAAAACTACACTTCGTGCAGACATCCTTCGTGCAGACAAGCTTATGATGAGGTGGATTAAGGCATCAGTCAACGTTGAAACCCTCCAACTTCATCCACGCTAAACATGCTTTTCGGGTCATCTTTTTCCACTTCAAACTTCTGAGAGGATTCTTTGCTTGCTTCTCTAAAGCTCTGCTTGTCTTCTTCGCTCATATCTCGCCATTTTTTAGCCATTTGTATATTCCACTCTGCTATACTCTGGGTGGAATCTCTAGGGAAGGCTTCCTGGGCAGCTTTAATAAAATGTCCAAATGCTGTTGCTTTTTTGGGAAGATCCATGCTTATAGTACTATCTTCTTGTTCAGATACATGTTCACATGCATTCTGCTTCAAGGCCTCAATGACTTTTTGATGAGCGTCCAATCCTTCCTCAAAKGATATCAGTTGTTGTTTGTACTGCTCCACTCTTTCTACGAATTTCTCCCTGTAGGCTTTTTTCTGGTCTTCGGTGGTATTTTTCCATTTTTCTCCGATCGCACGAATCAATTCATTCTGTTTTGAATGTGCATTATTTGCACGTTCTTCCTCGATGTGATCTTCATAAAATAAATCAAATACAGATGGAGGTTTGGATGGTTTTGTGCGAGCTTCTTTGTTGATTTTTCCGTCTGAAGTGTATTCACGAGGCATGATCTTGTACACTGTACGACTGTGTTGCAAAGCCATTCGTCTTAGCATCATTAAACTCATTGCAAACCCACGAAAGTTTAAAATAAGAAGCACAGACGAAGAAGAAACCGTTTTTCCTATTGATCTATGACAGATGACCTCTTGATTATACGGGGTGCCGGGATTTCCCAGACGAAACAACTGGAGTGCCAAAGGCACCTAGTAACAAATCCCCTCGTCCCCTCCCCTAACTGGCAATTACTTGCCAGGAAATGATAGCAGCCGGACCCGGAAATACGTCACAACACAGGAGCCCCATAACTACCAAGTTCATGTAAAACAAAATGGCGGCCTACAAGGTGCTTCACGATGCGTTAAGATTGAATCATCATTTTTTTACAGCCTTTAGGACTACAGACAAAATTACCTCATTATATCGTAGGATAAGTACTAAAGAAATCTCTGTAGAAGTAGAAGTAGGTGGAAGGTATGTTTTTTAAGTGGTTTTGTTAGTCTATAAATATCACGTCATGTTCTTGTGTTACTCTGCTGAACTTTTTTGTACACGATATTTTCTTTAGGCCTCTGCGTTTTTCTACTGGAAAACTAGCTTTCATTGCAGATGGTTCAACCGTTGCTCAGGTATGATATTAGTACATCTGTGAAAAAAATATTTAGCGAGCCATACAGCTCATATTTTATAATGGAGTTACATAAGACCTGTCACATTTTTCTAATTTGGGCTTCCTGTGTCACGTTAATGTATTGTGCAGTACGGGGATACCTCAGTTTTGGTCACAGCTTCAAGCTCCAAGACACCTACAGAAAATGCCTTCCTACCTCTTGTGGTGAGTAAAATTTTTTTTGAGGAGGGGGGGGGCTGCTTTCTGATCCCCAAAATATTACAATGATTTTTCTGACGTGGGTGTCTGCTTCCAAGTATACRCCTGGCATGGCTAGCTTTCTCCACTATGAGTCCTACAGGTTGCATTGTGGCATTGATTCCTGCTATATGTGAATACAGTTTGTCTGATGATTGTTCTTCAGGTTCTCTGGTTTCCTTTCTCAWCAAAATCAAACATAGTGGCAGTGAATGTTGAGTGTGTCATCTAGATGTCTTTGTTGTGTGCATGCAACATCATCTTTGGTATACCCATGCTTCTTCATGTCCTAAAGAATGTGAGGATGGCAAGGATGATGGCCCTCGCACACACATACACAAAAGAAAAAAACAGTCCTTGATGCTTTACGATGCTAAGGTCCCCATTATTATGAGGGGGAAGAGAGATTGGCATAAACATTATATTTACCAGTCATGTAAATTTATCATTTCTCATTTCTAGGTTGATTACAGAGAAAAAGCTTCTGCAGCATGTCTTATTCCTGCCAATTTTCTCCGAAGAGAATTAGGTCCCAATGATAGGGAAATTCTTGTGTCCAGATGCATAGGTAAACTGAAGGAATAGAAAACGTGTGCAAGTGCTGTGTGCAGTTATGAAGAACACAGGGGTTGGCAGAACGCAATAGTAGTGTTTGAAGAAGCAACGCGTAGCRGAGTGTTTCTCGAGTGTTCTGCCAATCCCCAAGTGCTTTATAACTGCAACCTCCCTGGGGGTTTGGGAAAAGGATTGAAGTAATAGGGTTCAAGATGCACTCTCCAGGGTAAAATCCTAGTTACTCAAAACCATGGTACATGGTCTCAAGACAGAAATAATTGGAAGCTCAAGGTATTCAAGGATTTATTTGAGGTAACAGAAACTTACTGTAAATATTTTGTTTTTCAACATAGATCGATCAYTGAGGTCTTTGTTCATGAAAGGTTACTTTTATGACACACAGGTAAGGACATCATTATGTTCCCAATGAATCATTTATTWTGCATGCAGGGCTTGAAATAATTGCTGTTCAGTCCCCGATTATGATCACTAGTTTAAGCTACTAGGTTATATCTTGTGTCTGRCTGAAAGTTGCTGGTGAGAATGACTGACAATGCAAAGATTAGTGCGGGCAAGTTTTAATTCTGGCCAGACATTGTTTGCTGACCAGCTATTATTTTAAATCTGCGTGTTGCAGTGGTGAGCTAGCTGCTAATTAATATCATCATTAAAAAACTTTATAAGCATCAAATAAATGTGGTTTGCAGATTTCTCTGAAGGGGGGAGCTTGGAATCACTTTTGGAATTCAATCTTTCCAGTTCCTTTACATATGTATAGTAAGTTGGCATCACATTCAGATGAATACCCTGTCCAGATATAACACAGGCTATAATTCCTTTACTTAAGCAAAAACATGCTCCATCATGAATGTTCCCCAAACAACTTATGTGTCCTGTTAATCTTTCTTATCAATCTACTAGGAATGGTATTAAAATGTATATTATTATAATCATTATTCCAGATTATGTCGAACCTTTTAGCAACTGATAGACTTAATGATCCTGACATAGCAGCAATAAATGGAGGTAATTATATCAAGGACTAMTTTACTTATAAGTGTCAATCATTATATTCACATGTAAAATTTAACAAAAATAAATAAACTTTCTCAAAATCTTTTCTTTCTTTGGTCAAATCCGTCTTTCTAAGACATGCCCCGCACTTAACTTGATCCAGTAACTTAGCAAGTGTGACTCGCCAAAAATCGACTTCTTGATTATAGGGCCACAGGTTTGCTAGCCACTCCATGGCTACTGACTGCTTCCCTCAGCTTGGGTACGTAACACAGGTGCAGAGCGGTGTGAGCACTCGCCTCTCATCAATGTGACCCGAGTTCGAGTCCTGCCGGGTTCGGTGTTGTATTTGAGTAGAGTTGCTTGTTGGTTCTCTCCTGTGCTTCGAGGGTTTTCCGGGTTCTCCGGTTTTCTTCCCTCCGCAAAAATCAACTCCTAAATTCCAATTCGATCATGGAATGAGGGCCACAGGTTTGTTAGCCACTGGCTATTAAGTGCTACCCTCGTGAAAAAAGGACAGGGTTTTTTTTCTTGTAAGACAAGGATGATTGGTCTAAAAATAAGACTTTTTTATTTAGTTATGAATATGATTTATTTGATTTATCGATTGAAATCAATATTCTCTTCTTACAGCATCAGCGTCGTTAGCTATATCAGATATACCATGGAGAGGACCAGTTGGTAAGCTGTCTGCTAATGCCTGGTTTTTGCTATAATAGATAATTAAAATTCTGATTTTTGTGCTTCCATTACCCCTGTTTTGAAAATGAAATGAGGTCTATTGTGCTTGCATTAATGCTTGTGTTTGTGTCTTAATAGTCCTCACAGCTGTAGCTCTGTTTAACTTGGGTRTAATGTCTTCCCATTTCAGGGCATGTGTCCTTCTCTTGACAATAAGATTCATCTGTCTTCTTATGCATAACTGTTGAGCAAAGAAATGAATTTTCTCAAAGGAATTACATGAAGTCTATAGAGCATAATAGATAATTCTATTACATTTTGTATAGATATTGTATTTCAAATACCAAAAAAGATCTTTTGTTACTAATCTTAGGTGCTGTTAGAATAGGAGATATTGATGGAGAGCTTGTTGTGAACCCATTGCCACAGGATATGGACAAGAGTCAACTCAATCTTGTGGTAACAAGCAGTGAACACAAAATTAGTAAGTCTTACTAACTTTACTTGCTGTGGTTTTCTATATTTTGCGAACTCTGTAGTTGCGAGCTGCTTGCTGAAATCTACTTTTTTGCTGCCGTCAGTTAAAAATAATCAGTTATTACCTTTAATGTTCTTGACTGGGGGCAGTGAAAAACCCATTTCACATCAAGCCGTTGCAGAATATGGAAAACTGCAGTAAGGAAATAAAAAGTTCCAGATTCCCTCAATTGATGAAAGCTTTGGGACTTAAGGGTAGGGTAGCAATAGTACACTTGCCTCTCCCTTCTGGGGTCTTGGGTTTGATTCCTGGACTCACCATCACGTGCTAGCAGAGTTTCTTAGGTCTCTCTCTTGATATGTGGGTTTTCTATGGGTTCTCTGGCTTTCCTCCCTCTCCTCAAAACCTAACAAGCTAAATTCCCATTCAATTCAACTAGAGTCTTGTATTTCTTGTTCATTTATTTCTTGCTATAGTCATGATAGAGGGATCAGCAATGGAGATAGATGATGCTAGATTCTGTGAAGCTGTTAAACTGGCACATCAGGAGGTGAGATGGAACTCTTTCGAGTGAAAGAAAAATAGTATAAGTATTAGACCTTGTCAGTAGGGTGTTGGTATGGTGTCAGTAGGGTGTTGATAGAGTGTCAGTAGGATGTTGGTAGGTTGTCAGTAGGGTGTTGGTAGGGTGTCAGTAGGGTGCCTGCTAGGGTGTCAGTAGGATGTTGGTAGAGTGTTAGAATGGTGTTGGTAGAGTGTCAGTAGGATGTTGCTAGGTTGTCAGTAGGGTGTTGCTAGGTTGTCAGTAGGATGTTGGTAGGGTGTTGGTAGGTTGTCAGTAGGGTGTTGGTAGATTGTCAGTAGGGTGTTGGTAGGTTGTCAGTAGGGTGTTG